CATTTTCTCCACTGAATGACCACTATCAACTAAATGCAAAGAATCGGAGCTACATGTGGTTATTGTCTATCTTTTGGCAAATCACGATGGCATATAGCCGTATCCTCAATCTATGCCCCCAATGTACATCCATTCAACGTTGGATAGCGACTAAGTCTACACACTCCTCCTGGCCAATGGATAGATGTCTTGAAGCTGTACTGAGAAGTCAACTATCAACAAGTTAATTAGCAAGAAAACAAACCAGTAGGATTTACTCCGCACCAACGCCAAGAACCAGACGCATGACACTGATTATTCTCCGATGACTAGTCCGTGTATGCATTACAGTCCTATAGGAGGTCAATGGTGAGCCCGAATAGATCAGCGGTAACATCACTGACTGTGCGTCGGTGGCATAGCGGTTAGGACGCTCGCCGACCATCCACATGGTCCGGGGTTCGATCCCCAGCCGACGCACTCCTTTACCTCGCTAAGCCAGAAATAATGCTGGTGAAGAGAAAAGGTTGGGCATGAGGCTAGCACCCCATCCTGTAAAATAAACACTGCTACAGAATCTTCAAGCCAGAAGCTTGAAGCCCTATGTTCCACTGGGGAACGTGAAGGAAAAATAAGTAAATAAATAATAACATCACTGACTGCCCCACTGGGTGATGTGGGTTGGGATTTGGGAGGATACATGAGTCCCTTCAAGGGTACAGATATTCCCTGATGATGAGTCCCACAAGCATGAAACCTAGGTATCCACAGCCTTCTATCGGTTGCCTCCAACTATCTGACATCAGATCAGTGGTAATTTGAAGGTTGTTATTTCAAACAGACGACTTATGTCATATTATCATATGTGCCTTCAGTTATTGATATCCTCGCATTTTTCATTCATCCAAAGTAGAAATATTGTTTTATTGTTCTTCTTCTTATCATTATTTTATTAGCTCTGCTTACACTGGCTGCTATACGTGTTGAATTCCTACTAACAAATTCTATGGATCAACGAATGCATGATCGTGGACCTCCGCCGTCTCTGACAGAATCAGCTTTGATCATTTATGTTATAGGTAGGTAAACGTTGTGGAAAAATGAAGCATTCAAAGCCATTTTTGCTGCGCCAATCAAAAAAACAGATAAGATCACCACTAGGATCTGAGATAAACACTTGATACCTATTTTATTGGAGTTTACTGCTTGTCATTAGTTGTCATCCATGATATCATGTGCATGCGAGTCTATGAATGTGGGTTTTCTTTACATAATTGGGAAAATTTAGTGTGATTATGGCGAAGTTCAACAATAGCATCCCAGGAGTGTGAACGCTCTAGTGACCTTGAACGCATGCTAGTCGTTGGCTAACGGCACCTGTCATTATCATAGCTGGAATACCAACGTTATTCACCAACTAAGGAGCAAATTTCACCCAGATCACGTCTTTAAGTACTGTATGGACAATGTATTAAAAGCTAGTTAGGTTTAGGATAAGGGTGAAGTTAAGTATTGGGGTTAGGGTTAGAATTAACATTAGGATTAGAATTACGGTTTGGATAAGTGTTATGATTAGGGTTAAGGTCAGGATTAAGGTCAGCCTTACGATTAGGGATAGATTTAGAGTTGATATCATTGATATCATTATTATCCACATTTTCCTAGCAACTAGTCGTAGATCCTCTTACTGGAAACCGTATTAATTCAACCGAGGGCTTTGGGGAAGACTGCATAACAGGATAAGAGATGAACCATTCACAAAAACAACTCATATTCAGTCACCTTAGTGAATACATGTACAGAAACTAGTCTAACTTAGCAACTGATACTCCTTATTATAATTGGGACGTATTTTTAAGTCACTTCAGAGAAAGGTACCCTGTGTTAATTTGTTTTCATGCATTTTCTTGTAAATATACGTCAGTTTTTGTGCACAAATTCCTCATTTTTATGATTGGTCGACTCAAGGTTACTTGTGCATTCGCATCCCTTGAGACGTTATCGTTGAACTTCGTCGTGATTATGATCTCTCAGCTCAGTGGCTTAATTAAGAACCTTTCATTGTTTACCTAGACAACATCTTCAGTGCTTACTTCACTGTGGAGTGAAGTTTTTGGAATTCTTGATCAATAACATAACTATCTCTTCTGATGACAGCGGTTGTGATTGGCTATTGGTTTGTATTGGTATCGATCATTTCATTGACCTCGAATTGGAATCACTAGTCATGCCACTTGTTCTTTATTGGTTTTGTAAATTTGGTCTAATGTACTAGTGTGTCTGTCGAGGGAAGATAAGTCTGAATACCAGGCTTCTAGAGATTCTCCGGCAAATTTATTATTTCCTCTGTTTAAAATTTTCATCTTTTTAACTGTCTAACATGTGTCTGTAGTTGTGTAAGTGTATTGATGTGAAGGAACACAGGTTCTACCTGAATATGTTACGTAGAGGAAATATTTGTCACAACCAGAAATGAAGAAATTGACTCAATTGAGTCGATGGTTCAATGGTGGAATGCTCTTTAACCACTTACTTGATCCGGGAGTCGACTTCCAGCCTATGCAGTTCTAAACCTCAAATAGCCAGTAAAGTGGAAGGGTTATGTGGGAAGCTAACAATCTCACCTCTTAAAAATTACCGCTATGGAAACTTCAAAACTAAGAGCTTGAAGCACTATGTTGAGGCCAGTGATGGAAATAAGTCAGTCAGAGAATGTGAAACAACTGGCCTGTTATAAATCCATACAGTTGCGTTACATCAATTTGTGAAATCGTCTACTGTTTATATCAGCCGGGATTTTACTCTTTATAGCTCATTTGAGTAGTGTTTACTAGATATCAGAAACTCATTTCAGGTGACTGGTAGAAATGGACCTTTAACTTTTTGAAAAATTAGAACTTAGGCTGTTTTTCATTTATATTTGTTTCTGCTTCCAGCATATCTTCTCTTGTCTCTTATTTTCAACAGTGTTTTCCAACTGATTTGGTTGGAGGCAATCAGTAGGAATATTTGAACCTAGCTACGTTTCGTGCTTAGGGCTACTTGTCAGCGAGGCGTATCTGTAGCCATGATCCAAATGAAATCCCTATCAACAAATGTTGTTCTTGTTTTCATAGCTGTGGAATAGGATGGAGCCTTTTTGATTGTTGGAACACCACTTAAGAGTCATTTTGGTAAAATCCGAGATGCTCATTTAGTCTATCCTACTTGGGACTCATCATCTGGATGCACCTTCATTCTCAGTGAGTGATGTTCCCACCAATAACACCAGCTAAGATTCAAGTGACGAGTCTCAGATAGGACGAAACATGCGTGCTGGTAGATTCTGTTACTAGTCACCATCAACCAAAATAACGTCAAGTTAATCCTTAGACATGGTCGTAGTGTCTGTAGTAGGAACTGACATTTCATAAGAGACCGAGAATGCCGGTCGGAAATAACCAGTCAATGGAAAACGCAAAACTGATTTAAAAACAAATAATATTTAAGAATCATTTTAACTCTTTTCGATAATGCAGCACTTAGCGTTGCTATGGTGATATTCAATCATTGAATAGAAAGCATTTTCGACTGTAAAACAATCTGGATTATCCGTAGGAGAGATAATAAAATGGGTTGAATTATGTCTGACAACAACATATTTTACATTTGAAGGAAAAATATGCCAACAAAATTAAGGAGTAGTCATGGGACCGCGCATTTCATCAATAATAGCTGACATATTCATAGATTTTCGGGAAGAGAATTCACTTAAACCATTCACGTCAACAATAAAATGTTAGTGGAGATATGTAGACCACACGTTAGTAATAATGAAAAAGAACGATGTTGAGAATTTCTTCTCACACATAAACAGTTATGTCGAGTCAATAAAGTTCACTAGGGAAATTGAGAATGAAATTGGGGTGCTGCCTATGTTAGACTGCAAAGTACAAAGAATAACAGATAGCAGCATGAAAACGACACTATATAGAAAAACTACACATTCTGGGAGATTCCTTGACTGTCACTCAGCTCATCCACTCACGGTAAAACGAGGGTTAATACAAGGTCTTACACCGAATCACAAATGAAAAGAAATAAACGTCTTATTCAAAACGTTACTCCGCAGCAACTATACAAAAGAATTTATCAGAGATAATGTAAAGAAGAGAAAAAAGAGGGTAAAACCGGAGAATAGCAGGCAGGAAGATGGCAAAAAGACTATAACAATACCATACAAAAATGGTACATCAAAGGCAATTCGAAAAAACCTCAAAGATATAGGGATTCGTACCACGTTTAAACCTACGAATCTTATTAAAAATAAAATAAATCAACTGAAAGATCCCATAAAAATGATGGATAAAAACAATGTGATTTACAAAATATGTTGTGCCGAGTGTCCGACTAAATATGTGGGTCAAACGTCCAGATCACTCAAAATAAGGGTGAATGAACATAAACGCCTAACTAAAAGTCATACCACAGAAACACAATTTAGAAAAAATTCGTCTATAGCTGCACATGCATGGGACAAAAACCACAATATTGATTGGGACAATGTTTGTGTTCTGAAATCTAATATGAACAAATGGAAAGAGAGACTAATAACAGAATCTATATTCATTAAGGTCACACTGGATACATGTAACAAGGGTGACTCAGCAGCACAACTGTCAACATCCTGGAATATAATTCTGAATACAAAAAAATGAATGAACAAAAAAAGAACTACATATATGAGTACAAAGCATTAAATGTGTGAATTAAAAACAAAACAATTCCAAAAGTTGGTATGATCACGGGCAGTAATTTTGCTCGAAATATTACCAATAACAAACATCTATCATTGTGTGTAAACTACTGAAATATAATTATAATTTATTTGAATAAGACATTTAGAAGATAAATTTCGCGAGATGATATCGTCATTTCGTAGTTTCGTTACAACCGCTTTACAAATAACATGGTTCACAATGATAAAATAAAAAAGCATGACAATTACTCAGTTATATAAAAAGCAAAAGTACATACTAATGACCAATCATATTTAAATAGGTCAAGTAGTCCATGGTAGGCGAAGATTGAAGTCTATTGTGTTGTTTTTGTACACATATTTTGGGCTGTATGTGATTAATTCAAAAAGTGCTTGTCCCATCACCTTTAATAATAATCCTTGAATTAGAGTTATATGAAATAGAGTCCCAAACTAGGACGAAACAGCTGTCCAGTACTCCCAGGTTTTCCAGTGGTTCCCTAACTGATGTCAGCTCATGATGAAATCCTCCATGCAATTAAACAAAATCCCTACCAAACCAATACTTGAAAATTATATGAAATAATTGTGAAGCAGTCATTAATATTGATTTTGTGACCTGACATTAATAAGTGCTTTTCAATAGATAATTCTATTCAGATTAATAACTGCATTGGCATTTTCTGTGTCTTAAAAACCATTTTGGGACATGTTCTTTTCTATTGGTTCTGCAGTTGAACTTGTAAATACAGTTTGAAGTAGAATCCACAAAATTTCGTCCTTTAATCGTAGGTACAGGGATCGAAAATGTTCGAGATATGAGGGACAGAGATACGAAGTAGAATGTGCACTTGATGGTTGTCCCGAAGTCTTCGAGCTGTCAACTGCATTAGCTGGTCACCCTTGAATGGTAGGTTAATAAAGATAGTTTCTTTGGTACAGAAGCTGTCTTTTCAAGATGTGGTCTATCCTTACTGTGACAATTGATTGATAAAGTTTTGTGGATAACCAAACTGAATGTAGATGTCGAGGCTCATCCATCACTGTGTCGCTCGTACACATTTTACGGGCCCTTGAAAACAAACATTTCACTAGGGAAGGTTTATACTAGATAGGAACAAACCTGGTGAATATAGGTCGTCTAATCGTTCCATCGTCTCTTCTGGTCATTGAAATATCCAAGAAACTGAGTTTGTTATTCGATTCGAGTTCAGAAGTCACTCGGATATTTGGATGAATATGATTAAATAGAGTAATAAAGTTTATTTGATCTATTCCTCAATACTCAAACTTTTTACTGCCACTAATATCTGGATTTTCCTTAAACATTTTTTCTAAAATTTTTCTTTTTATAGGTTTTGTTTGGCAACAAATGAAAAAGCTCTATATATGGGGTTTACGAGCTCATTTAACAGATATGTGGAATCTTGTGGATTTTGTTATGAATTCACTCTACATATCAACGATATCGCTAAGAACAGTAGCTTGGGCTAGAGTAAGGTTTCTTATTATCATTACTATTATCATTATTGTTTTACAGTAAAACAAAGTACAATTATTTACGTGTCGCAATGTTTTCTTCTTAAATTTAGAAAAACGAGGGTTTGGTTGATTGACGCATGAGTTATATGTTAGCAATGGCAAGACTAAAGTATAGCCACTGAAGCTAAAAATCAATAAAAAGACTTTGAACAATCAATTAAATAAGTCTCATTGTACAACTGTCATCCTTATCTTGCATTTCAGTACTGTCTTGACAATAGGCTTTTAGGAAAGACCAATTATTCAACGTCTTGTTGAAGGATTTTCAGACCGTTATCAACATCTGAATGTATTTACAACTCTGCAGATCGTTCTCCTCATTTTGATAATCCGTTTGGGTGAGGCATGCACACTAATTACTTAGAAAGATTCTATGGGCATATCAATTTTAGCGGCAATTTTGTCATGAAATTACATGATATACGCTCATCTAAATGAATTTAATGCACAGAAATTGATTTGGAATAAGCACTAAGACCCCCACTGACGAAATGGGAGACATTTCTAGGACATATAAGGGCAAGCCATCCAGTATAATCATTTTGTATTACGTAATTTGTTTGCTATAAGATTTTCTATTTAAATAACGCTTCCTGTTGGTCAAGGTCATTTCGTCGGTGGTTCTCTTGCGTTGCTATGCTTTATCAGTCTAGTCGTTAGCGTTTCTGAAATGAAGATAATGATGATATTTTCCCTACGGACAATATCTTCAAGTAAACTATAAACTGACAGTATATTCTGTGACACAATGATCTCTGAGCTGAAGCACAAATCATTCCATAATGTGATATATCTGCTTTGTCTCCTCCGAGAAATCCACGATATCCAGTCGGTAGCCAATTGTAAGGTAATGAGAAGTACATTTTGAGACCTAAGGATATAAATGAAGAACAGTTATTTCATGAATTGGGATACGTACGTTGCCACTGACAATCAGGTCATTCTTCAAGTTTAGTAGGAACTTGCAAATCAGGGGCTTGTAAACATTTTAAATATACCAACTGAGGTCATATTTTAATCGATTAAAACAAACTGAACAAGGGAGAACATATGCAATAGAGAGATGGAAGTTTTTGGTAGCCCAAGTTTTAAGCAGGTCGCCAATCACCATCGATGATTACACTACAACTCCCCTAATATACTTATTCAACGTAGACTGGAAAACACTTAATTAGCCAAAAATGGAATAACAATTAAATGTTTACTCCTCAAGATTTTGATATTTTAGCTAACCTTTCTCCAACAAACGAGTTTTCTTTTAAATTTTGAGTTGTTCTGATGGAAAAGAGTTTTCAGAATGAGTTCTGGATAAGCCGAAACTTCAGTGTAGCCTCATTTAATCATCCTAGCATTGTTGTGTATGAGTAATTGAACCATTGTTGTGGTTTTCCCTCCAGGGATCGAGTCCAGCCCGCTGACCATTCAGCTATCGGGATTGCTCCCAATAGCCCATGAATCCTAACTTCAATCGAATCGCGATGTATAGCCCATTCGCTAGCCAGGCAGGGTCTTAGCATTTCTTCATATCTCAGATGGTGAATTCCACCCGTCACAGCTTTTCATCAGAACTGCAGGAAACCCATCTCATGATCAGTTACTAATGGTCAGCTTAGGAGTTAGATTCCATCAAACAACTCCTACAACCCTTGGTACAGCCATAGATGCAAACCAGGACAAGACGGATCTCCTGTACTCACTGGTCTTCAATGGATCTCTGACTGATTTCAGTTCGTGATGAAATCTAACAAACAGCCTGGGTCTGGTTGGTGGTAACGAGGATGTTCATTTCGTCCTTCATATTTAAGGCTCATCGTCTTGATGTACCTTCAAGTCCGGTCAGAGACTCAAACCCTGCGTCAGTCGTTTTAAACGCCGAAGCATTATTCGCCAGGCCACTTGAGTCACCTTTTGTGCAGTGGGTATCATATATTATTTATCTTCTTGGTTAACCTGAGCGTTCATCGATGATGTTTCACTGAAATACACCGTTTTTGTCAACATGTCAGGGGCCTAGCACCAAGGCTTCGACGACGTTTGGTGATTAACGTTATGTTATATTTGTTAGTGGTGAAAAAGGGGATGCAGGGTTAGATTCTCAATTGGAACACCATTACTCGCTGGGAATATAGACACGTCCGGATGATGAGTCTTAAAAATGACGAAATTCACATCCTGGATTCCACCGCAAACCACATTCAACCAAAATAACATCCTTTATAATACCTTATATATGTTTTTATTAAAGATATTCCCTTTAAATTTCACTATCCTCTTAACATAAATTAATTGCTCTTTTCTGTCTTTTCTTTTACAAATTAACAACACTACAGACAGTGTTTTACAATGAACCACGTTATGTGAATCGTGGCCAATGGGATTCATTTGATCCAGTTCTTGTTTCAGAGTGTCTGTTTGCTGCGGCGAATATCGTGTCGACGTTGAAATTAGTTTATGTCTTCACAGTTAGTCCACAACTTGGTCCATTGCAAATTTCACTTGGAAGAATGTTATATGATATATTTCGTTTCTTTTGTGTTTATTTCCTTGTTCTTGTGGCATTTGCATTCGGCTTTAATCAGTTGTATTGGTTTTATGCTAAAAATCGTGCTAGAAATTGTAAAAATGTTCATTTCACTCTGGAAGAAGGTCAAAAAGATGTTTATGATTATTGTATTACACGTGGAACATATTTTACAAAGTGAGTAGTAATCATTCATAATTATTTATAAAAAGACGATTGCAGCGAAGAAAATTTTTATTTTCGATGAAGTCACCGTCAACTAGGCTGTACATTCATGTATTTATGATATATAGGTGAGAGGGTTCCAGAATAATTTCCGGTCAAAGGTCAAATTAATAAAATTACAATTAGGAATTAAAATACCATTATAAACTGGGTGACGGATAAAACTCAAACAAAGTAGCATGATAATTACTGAGAGGATTGACATGTTGTGCAATTAAGGGTTAGAAACGTAGAAATAACAAAATATACAGGATGTTTAGATTAACAATCTAGTGGGATCATAACTAATGTGACGAATAATTGTTTATGTAATCAGGGATTAAATAAGTAGAAATATTAAAATGACAAAGTAGACAGGAGGTTCGGATATGAAAATATGGTAGTGTAAATAACATGAATAAACAGGAAGTTTGTATAAGAAAGTCAATGGGATGGTCACTATTACAAGAATTTCCTGTTAATGATGGCCACGGTGGGGACGAGAGTTGGACGTATTTCTTTTGGATGCATAGCGTGGGTTTCAGCTTTTGGATGGCTGGTGCCTCAGCTATGCCCAGATTTCCTAGTTTCACTCCCTTCGATAGGTTTGATTGAATCTGGTATATTATTTTGAAGGATTTTTCGAATGTCGCTGAATGTCCTGAATTGACCAGATGTTCTGTCACTGAACTGTATACACGTTTTCGGTCTCCTTTTACTGACCAGGCTGGATATTGTTCATGAGCGCGTTTTCCAAGTTGGCGCATGGTACGGCCGATGTACTCAGCTCCACAAGAGCAAGTAAACTGGTATATGCACGCTGAGGTGGCCCAATGCGACAGCTTGTCATTCGCGTTCTGGCTGAACAGTTTCATGCAGGAAAACATCAGTTGTAGGCTCGCGGAGAAGTATGTTTTCCTCAGAGATTCGGGGAGGCGTTATGAAGGATTCCTTTGAACTCTAGATTAAGCAGAAGTATTTTTTTTGGAACGGACTGGACTTGTTCTGAAGTCTTCTTTGATTTGAGATTCTTGTCTATGAAACTAGGCGGAAAGCCGTTTTCCATCAGTGTTCTTCGGAGATTACGCAGTTTTTCGTCAATCACTTCCTCGCTGCAACTCTTCCGAATCCTCAAGTAAAGAGCGTATATCAGGTTCCTCTCTCTGCTTAGGGCACGAAGCTTTGAAAGTTGATGGATTGTCCATTCCACGCAGGCTTTTTGTATATGCACCTTTTCAGAGAGTTGTTGGCGTTTTTTGTTAGATGGATATCGAGGAAGTGGAACATTCCGTCGGATTCAGCTTCAAGAGTAAAGTCGATGTTTTGGTGGGCATTGTTGAAAGTTTGAAGTAAGTTTTCAAGGTTCAGGTTCTCATCACAAACGATGAATGTATCATCAATGTATCTCTTGTAGAGATGGAGGTCGTTGATAGTTGATGGTAAGTTGTTTTCTGGGTCTTAGAGGAGAACCCATTGCTACTCCATCTACTTGCCTATATATTTCGTTGTTGAAAGGTTCATCGGAGTAACAGTTCTTTCAGGTAATGGACTGGTATGCCGACATCGATGCTATTGGATTGAATGTAGTCACAACATGCATACAGTTTAAGTAGTAACTGTTTATTAGTATTGTTAGGTGCTAGTCTATTTTGATTTTGTTCTTATTATTATTCCCTTGGGTCCAGCAGCACATCTTCATTCCATCCTGTTCTCCGCAGTCCTTTATAGCTGGTCCCACGACTGCCCATCAACGTTCATCTCCTCTTTACATGTTCTCCTCCATGTCACACTCGGATGGGTAACTTAACACTTCCTTTTAGAGTTCGGCTCAAGGACTTGCCTGACATCTGACGTCACTCAGTGGTTTCCTCAACCTGTGTCCTACCCATCTCCATTTTATTTTGCATATTTGGTGGATGAAAGGTTGTTGGTTAGTTTGTATCTATAGTTCCTCTTTGTTAATCCTTTCTGGAAATCCGGTATTGAACGAAGGTAGCTATTGACTTTGACCATTGTCTTACTTAACAATAATGAATTGAGCTGAATGCTTACTTCTGTGTTTCAATGTATATACTATAAAGAAAAGGTGAAACCATTCTGAAGACTCATGGACAGTGTGTTTCAAAAAATACCACATAGGTGACGTCTCTAACTGCATTACTAGGTGACACAGGTCCGAGTCACTGTGGAGACACTATATTTTCTTCAGGAATGTGCATGCGACCTACTGATGAATGCCCCTAACTACAAAACTCACGTCCATCGCTTCCGAAGGATTACCTCCGACCATCCAACCGTAGAACATATATATGCATATGAAAATTGGGTAGTCAGTAGGCTAGAATCCCTGTTTGACCTTCATTTCTTGGTTCTCAATAGTCATCAACGACATTCATCCAAAAATGTGGCGGAAAGTTATATTCCCTATTAAATTCTTTTCATTTATCTCGGCTGCCACATTGTGCACTTTGAGAATAGATTTCTGTCAACACTTAGAGCTGGATAACAACACTGGTTACTATCTCGCAACTAGTATGTGCACGTCAACCGGTCTCATAGGTGGTCATATGTGGCATGAATAGTGATTTATATTCCAGTTACAAACAAAACAGATCTTTGATGCCGAAGATAAGCTATAGTGATGTGTACTGTGCATTACAGAAAAAACCACTTGTATTTCCATATAGTTGGCAGTGAACCACACCTATTGCGTATGAGAGCTGATGACAATACCTGGAAACCCCACCCTGTAAACAAACCTGCTACAGAAACTTCAGCGTGAACAATCTCCTTGCGTCAAAAGAAAAAGTCTGTGTGGGGACATGGAATGTCCGCACCATGTACGAGACTAGCAAAGCAGCCCAGATCGCAAGCGAAATGAGGAGATACGGACTACAAGTATTGGGGATCTGCGAAAGCAGATGGAACGGAAACGGACTCACCAAATTGTCAACAGGTGAGTCAGTGATTTACTCCAGTCACCCAGAAGACAACCACACACGCACCGAGGGCGTTGCTATAATGACGTCACCAACGGCAACCAAGGCTCTGATACAATGGGAGGCGATCTCACCCAGAATAATGAGCGCCAGATTCAACTCCAAAGGAAGAAAAGTGTCAATTATACAGTGCTATGCACCCACAAACAACGCAGACCTCGAAAAGAAAGAAGAATTCTACAGACAACTACAGGCAGCAATAGACAATACTCCAGCCGGTGACATTAAAATACTAATGGGAGACATGAACGCCAAACTTGGACCAGACAACACAGGAAGGGAACTCATCATGGGTAAAGAAGCTCTGGGAGAGATGAATGAAAATGGAGAACTCTTCGCCGACTTCTGCGCCTTCAATGAACTAGTGATTGGTGGCAGCGTATACAAACACAAGGATATTCACAAGGCTACATGGGTGTCACCAGATGGGCGAACCAAAAACCAAATTGACTTCATCACAATCTCGAGGAAGTGGCGGCGCAGCCTACTGGACACAAAAGTAAGAAGAGGAGCAGACGTTGGCTCAGACCACTACCTCGTACAAGGAACAATCCAACTCAAATTAAAAGCTTTCAGAGAAACAGGAGCTGCAGATAGACCACAAGCCAAGTTCAACACTCAAAAACTAAAGGACCAGGATACAAAGGATATCTTTACTGCAAGCATAAAAGACAAAGCCGAGACACAAATCAACACTGGTGAAGAGGTCAGCGTCGAAAAACATTGGGACAACCTGAAAACGGTATGGAGCGAAACCTGCATGGAAGTTCTGGGCAGAAAGAAGAGACAGGACAAACAGTGGCTCACGACGGACACTTGGAGGCTAATAGAAGAGAGAAGGATGGTGAAACAAAAGATTCTCCAGTGCACCGACGAGCAACAGAAACAGGAGTTGAATGCAAGCTACAATACACTGAACAAAGGAGTAAAGAAGAGTGCCAGAGAAGACAAAAGAAAGTATTATGAAGCCATGGCCAATGAAGCAGAACAAGCAGCAGGCAAAGGAGACCTCTCAACACTCTACCAAACAACTAGGTACCTCTCAGGCAAAAATTCGTCACAAATTAAGCCAGTGAAGGATGACAATGGAAAGTCAATCACCAAAGAAGTGGAGCAAAGGAAACAGTGGGCTGAACACTTCAAAAGACTACTAAACCGACCGCCACCTACAACGCGCCCAACAATACCAACAACGGAAGCAGAATTACCAGTGAACATCAACCCCCCGAGGAGAACAGAAGTCCTGAAGGCAATCAAGATGCTGAAAGCTGGAAAAGCAGCAGGACCAGATGGAATCCCAGCAGAAGCATTGAAAATGGACCCAGAGACAACAGCAGACTTGATGACGCCACTACTGGAGAAGGTGTGGAAAGAAGGCAAAGTACCCGAGGATTGGAAGAAAGGATACCTATTCAAACTACCAAAGAAAGGAGACTTAAGTCAATGCAAGAACTGGCGCGGAATTATGCTCCTATCCATCCCAAGCAAAATACTAAGCCGCATCATCCTGGAAAGGATCAAACAAGCCCTGGATGAAAAACTTCGACCAGAACAAGCTGGATTCAGGAGAAACAAGTCATGTATTGATCAAATCGCCACACTACGGATCATCATTGAACAAAGTTTGGAATGGCAGTCACCTCTCTATCTCAACTTCATCGACTTTGAAAAGGCCTTTGACAGCGTCGATCGAGAGGTGATTTGGCAACTACTTCGCTACTACGGGGTGCCGCCGACAATTATACTTCTCATGCAACAGTTGTATGACAACGCTGCATGCCAAGTAATCCACAACGGGAAGCTCACGGAATCCTTCGAAGTGAAGACAGGAGTAAGACAGGGTTGCCTACTATCGCCAATGATTTTCCTGATTGCAGTAGATTGGATAATGCGACAGAAAGCGGGCAATGAGGAAACAGGCATAAAATGGACTCACACAAAGAACTTGGAGGATCTGGACTTCGCCGATGATATATGTCTGATTTCCCACAAACTGGAAGATATGCAAGTGAAAAGTAATAAGTTGGCAGAAGAAGCATCAAAGATAGGACTCCAGGTGAACATAGAGAAAACGGAGGTGATGAAGATCCCTGGCCAACACCAACAGCAACAACAACAGACAGCAGTCAGCATAAATGGAAGAAACCTGAAAGAAACTACCTCCTTTACCTACTTGGGAAGCATAGTTTCAACTACAGGCGGAACTGACGAGGATATCAAAGCAAGGATCGGAAAAGCAAGGCAAGCTTTCATTACTCTCAAGTCTGTGTGGAGGTAAACATCATTCAGCGTCAAAAATAAGATCGGGATTTTCAACTCCAATGTGAAGTCAGTGCTACTATGCGGATCAGAGACTTGGCGCGTTATAAAAAGCACCTCAAACAAGCTACAAACCTTCATTAACAGATGTCTTCGCTCCATACTCAAGATCAAATGGCCGGAAAGGATCAGCAACAAAGATTTCTGGGAGCGAACCAACCAGGAACCGATTGTGAAACAAATAGGCAGGAAGAAATGGAGATGGATTGGCCATACTCTGAGGAAACAAACCATCAAGTGACATCACTAGACAAGTCATCGCTCGAGTGGAACCCGAAAGGGAAGCGACGATGATGAACTGGACACACGCAAAGAAGGTCGTCGAATACAATCCGAATGGGAGAAGACGAGTTTGTTTGTTTTTCCGAGTTTGACGTGGATGAGATCTTGTGTGAAGCAGGTGACAGCTTATGGTCAATGGTGGAAAAGATTCTAGACTCTAAATAAATCGACATGTGCTCCTGAAGCTCTATGTTCCACTGGGAACCCAACAGAATAATAATGATAAAAGTTACAAATATTACTTGTTACTAGAGTGTATTATTGTCTTTATTGCTGTTTCTCACCTCTCAGTTGGTGTTTACTTCAAATTCCCTAAAGAGTTTAAAGAAGTAAGAATTCATCCTATTTTTTAATGATTCTGAGACTACAGTGTATCTTGATTTTTTTCTTTGTTCTGATTAGTTTATTTGAAATTGTTCAATCATTATACTGGTCTGCATATGGTTTAATCGATTTGACAAGTTTCAATTTGGAATATCCTCATGTATTCACAGAGTTTGTAGGTAAGTTCGAAAAAGAAAAAAAATACACAAAATAGTTTTATTTGTATTGATAAGGTCTGTGTTTCATTTTGCGTGTTTGTGCATGTATCCTGATGACAAATATCAACGGACTTCTTGCGTTTTTAAAAAGGATGCTATCTACGTCGATTACCAGATTTAGTCTTCAAATGTTGATTTTTAAGGATTTGGTTGATTTCAGGATTGATCATAAACTGACTTCAATGACGGGACCATTGAAAACGACGATGTACAAAGTAGCTGTTTCGTGCTAGTTTGAGACTGTTCATCAGTTCACACGAAAGCCACTGGAACAGTTGGAATCCAGTGACCTATAAATCCTAAATTCTGCCAGTCCGCGATGTAAGGCGGGACCGCCAGTCAGTGTCATTTGTGATTATTGGTCCTCACACCCATCTAGGTGGACTCCGTTCATGACGATATATATATATATTGATTGGACACTAAGTAGTAACTAGTAGTAGTATGATAAGGTGAGCAATATTGAGGTTAGGCATCGAGTGCTAGGTAAGGCGGGGAAATCAGTCGACGGGACTGTGAAATTACATCGACTGAGATGGTTGGGACATGTGTTACGTATGCCTAGTCATCGCCTTCCTCGAAAATGGGCAATGTTAGCTGATATAGGGCCAGGCTGGAAAAGAGCTAGTGGTGGTCAAACGAAAACATGGCACCAGTCAATGAAATACACAACAGTTAGTTTAAACCCCGTACGAAGGTGTAGACTGGCTTCCTGGTTGGGGTCCTCGGGATGGTAAAAACCAATGGTTGGAAACAATTGGTGACATGGCTCAAAATCGTTCTCAGTGGCTGGTGCAGATGCATCCACTCTTTGTGACTTATGATTTCCAATTAAACTGTTTTGTTCTCCGTAATTACTATTCCTTTGTCTCACACCTCTGTTTACTGTCTATATTATGCATTTCTCCTACTTTCTTCTCTTGCTTTGTGTGCTAAGTGAAGGGAATGTGGCGACTTGAACTGCCGCACAAATGTGCAAAATTCTATGTCGAAAACCGACCGACCGAAGTAGTAACTAATGTCATGAGGCTGTAACACGGAAAGACCAAGAGACTTGGGAACGGAAGGTTTTCGAGGAATTTGATATACACAAATAAGGAAATTATGTAAACCATATATTAAAATAGTTATGTGCGCAGATCTTTCGTGTTGTGCTACTTCTACCCTTCATGTATTGTGTTTCTTTGTCTTCTTTTCGTGTTTCCCATGTTTCGCTTCAACACCGGCTCATCTCCACACTCTCTCTCTCCCTCTTTGACGTCAAGCCTTTCCCTCGGATATTTGATATTTTTGTGCCGAAGAATGTCTGTCAGTAGCATACGCTACATACCTAGTCTTTGGTTTGGTGTATACTGAATTCTATCAGTCAAGTTTACAATGTGACCATCATGCTACTTGGCTCTCCATTGCGCGGCAGTCTGAATTGATTTTAGGTGGCTACTGGCAGTTTGCCTGAAGCCTTAGTTCTAGGTTTCGTTATTTTTGGCATGCATCAGCAAGACGTATCTACAGTCTTGTGCCCAATAAAATTATCCATTACAGGTCCAGAAGAGGTCAGTCGCAAGCCTGAGTAGGGCAAAATTCAACAAAAGCTTCCTAGGGGATGCGAATGCACGAGTGACCTTCAGCCGACCAATCATAAAAATGAGGAATTTTTGCACAAAAAATGACGTATATTTACAAGAAAATGCATGAAAACACATTAAACAGGGTATCTTTCTCTGACATGACTTAAAAATACGTCCCATTTATAATGAGGAGTATCAGTTTGCTAAGTTAGACTAGTTTCTGTACATGTATTCACCGAGGTGACTGAAGATGAGCTGTTTTCGGGAATCGTTTATCTCTCTCATCCTACTGTGCAGTCTTCCCCAAAAGCCCTCGGTTGAATTACTATGGTATCCAGTAAGAGGATCGACGACTAATTGCCAGGACAATGTGGATAATAAGACAAATTAAAATGAATGACATCAACTCTAAATCTATCCCTAATCTTAATCCTGATCCTAACCCTAAACTTAACACTAACCCTAATTACAACCGTCATCCTAACCGTAAACCTAATAGTAATAATGACCCTGATCCTAACCGTAAACCCAACATTTACTTTAACCCTGATCCTAACCCTAACGAGCTATTAATACATTGTCCGGACAGTACTTAAAAACGTGATCTGAGTGAAATTTGCTCCTTAGTTGGTGAACAGCGTTGATATTCCAGCTATGATAATGACAGGTGCCGTTGGCCAACGACTAGCATACGTTCATGGTCAATGGAGAATTCTCACTCATGGGATGCTATTGTTGAACTTCGCCCCTGAGTAGCACAGTGGTAACGTCTCTGACTGCAGTAACGTGGGATCAAGGTACAATTCTCAGAAGGGACGTGGTTTTCTTCGAGATTTCATATACGCCTTGCTGCAAGCACGAAGCATATAAGAAATTCATTTTCACAATTCCCTCCAATCATTTAGCATCAATCCAGAAAACATCTTGATAGCGAGCCATATAACATAGGTCCACAATACAAGCTTGACTGAAAGTTTTCAGTCTTCGCCAGACAAAGGACATGGCACTTGACACTGAGAGAGACAGAGAAATGTGAAGACGAATGGATTAGTGTGTATTATTCATCGCTTAAGACATAGTGGTGGTCTATAGTCTACAGATCATACGATATTTTTTTGTCGATTAAAGGTGGTATAAGTCATGCTTACTTATCCTGACAGCATAGTATTCGTTTATTTTTTTCAATAATCAATATCACCTTTGTTCTACATTATACACCTTTATACAATACACTATTTTTAATTGTTCTATCATTACTGTACATCTCAAGTGTATGGAAAGATGGTTACAACTTGAAAGTGTAAATGCTTTCAAATACTAGTCCAGTCAACATCATCTAATGTCTTTTCGATGACTTAGCAACTTGTCTCATACCATCAGGCACTCAAGCATCAAAATAATGTCATACGCAGAGACATAAGAAAGTGCTTTAATAACTTGTCTTCTTATTTTTCTTCATAATTCCCTTTATCCATTAATATGGGTCTCTGTCTTATCGATTCCAGTAAAAATCACAGTATTCTTCATTGTTTTATTTGTTTGAATTGAGTTGATGACATAGCTGTCTAACCTGAAGTAAATAGAATCCCTACAAACTAATTCTTGAAAATTAATCTGTTGCATGCTAGTGACTGGCTAGGACGAAGTTGTCTGCACTTCCAGTTAGATGTCGTGACCAGTAGAGTCCATCCAGGAGACAGTGAGGATGCAGTTCCCACTGATGACATTCCTTAGTGGCCGCGTTACAATCAAGAACTGGTAGAAACTAGAGTTCATGAACTCGCCACTGAATCGGATCTCAGTGGCTGAATGGTTTGCGAGCTAGCTAGCCTTGTAACAGGAAGTTCCTGCGTTGGAAGCCTGGTGGTGGGTGAGTAGCGCCGATGAGTCTCAAACTAGCAAGAAACAGTCGTCCAGAACTCTCTGGTTTTCATTGGTTCCCTAACTGATATCAATCCGTGATCAACTAGTTAAACAAAATCTAATCCTTACAAACCAACTCTTGAAAATAATAACAGACGTAAAATATATTGGAAAGGTACAAAGATTACATAAACAAAACGAAAAATAAATGTTTCATCACTTTTTTCTGTTTTATACTCGAGGTATAAATGAAGACTATGTCTTTGCCTTGGATCTTTAAAAAGTAGCTAAGGCCTTTGATGTCTTCAGAAGTTTGGAAGGTGGAAAACACATCAAGTTTAAATGAATTCGAAAGATGATCTTAAAATCATGTTGGAAACTTTACTGGAATGGTTTTATAAAAGAGAAATGAAGGGTGTGAGGTGCTCTATTCCAGGGCACTTAATCGACTTAATCGATATGATTATGAGCAATAGTTTATGCTCGAAACGTCATCAGTTAATATTACTGTACAACACTGTGTGACTTATCAAAATAAAATCTTATCCATAACGGAGTTATGCTCTACCACAGTGCCCAAGTTTTATACTTATATGAATTAAGTCCAGCCAGCCATTACTACTGCCCTGGCCGGCGTTAATTGGAGACTATAAATTTATGAATTTGTATTATCATCTTTCCTAATTTTTCTGATAATCAGTGTATTGTTATGTTAATGACATCGAGAAGAAATCCATTGATAGTATTATTATTGATTCGATGTTATTTAAACAACATTAATGTTTGAATAAGGCATTTAGAAGATAAATTTCGCCAGATGATACCTTCATTTCGTAGTTTCTCTACAATCGCTTTGCAACTAACATGGTTCACAATAATATGATAAAATGCGTGACAATTACTCAGTTATATAAATAAAAGTACATACTAATGACCAATCATGTTTAAACAGGTCAAGGTTTATTGTTTTTTGTACTTAGTTTAGGATATATGTGATTAATCCAAAAGGTGCTTGTTCCATCATCTTTAATTATCAGCCTTGAATTAGAGTTATATGAAATCATTGATTTTGTGACCTGACATTAATAAGTGCTTTGCAATAGATGATGATGGATGGGATTTTCTTTGTGTTTTAATAACCATTTTGGAACATGTTCTTTTCGACCACACAACACTGGAACATTCTATTGGTTCTGCCTATATAGGTGTCACTGCAAATGCAGGTGAACTTGTAAATACTGTTTGAAGTAGAGTTCAGTGACTTTCGTCCTTCAATCGTAGGTATGGAGATCAAAAATGTTCGAGATGTAAGGGACAAAGATGCTGTGTAAAATGTTCACTTGATGGCTGACCGTAGTCTTTGAGCTGTAAACTGCATAATTTGATAATCATTGGATGATAGGTTAATAAAGATAGCTTTCTTTGGTACAGAGGCTGTCTTTTCAAGATATGGTCCATCCTTACTTTGACAATTGATTGATAAAGTTTTCTGGATAACCATTAGATAATAAAACTGAATGTATATGTCGGAGCCCATCCATCAATATATCGCTCGTACATATTAATCTTGTTAATTATACTAACTGATTTACTATTGTGTTTATATGACCGTGGAACCTGATGTTGAAGTTATCAAAAAGAATATTCTTTGCTCAGTAACCATTCTTTTGAAAATCCACAGACTGACGAATAATAATAGTGATAGTAATGGTGTGAAATAAATTATGTGAAAAAGATAAGTTCCTAATGTTTCAGATTGGATTTATTTAGTTATTATCACTTGTCTACTTTAAGTAGTATCGGTTACTCCCATAAAAATTCATTTGTCCTGAACAAGTTGTGGTATGCACTAATTTTTGTATTCCCTGAATTAAACGATGAATTTATTCATTTTGTTTCTTCACTTAGGTAAACTAACCTTTGGGACGTATTCTTACATCGCTTTCATTGTGCTATTGAATATGCTGATTGCAATGATGAACAGTTCTTATGAACAAATTGTAGTAAGTGTTTATATACAATACAATAAGCATGCATAAAAACCTCAAATATTCATACAAAGAATATGAAAACTTCAGTGATACTGTGGTGTGTTACTGTTAAGATTTATCAGTAGTATATAAAGGGACATTCGTCTGCATAAAGACATCAGATAGCAGGGAGATAGATTTGATGTCAAAGAAAGCAAATGATACAGCGTTGTGGAGATACATGGGAGATGTGAAAGGAACACAAAGAAAGACAATATGAAGGAGGCCAGAAGTATCACATAACGGAAGATCTGTGGACATCTCTTTATATACTACTGGCAAATCTTAACAGTAGCGTACGCCACAATACTACTAATAAGTAGGGTATCTAATGAATTCATCAAATTTCGGTAGAACTCGTCAGCTGAATACTCTACATATGGGGATATATATATATATATATATATATATATATATGGTTAACAAAGTTACAGGTTTCAAAGAGTGAGTGTGAAACAATGTGAATGTTGGAAAGAAACAGAAAGGTATTATTAGTGAGCGATTATCGCGTAATAAAGAATTTAATGAAATAGAGCTTATTGCATAGGCTGTACTCAGAGGTTTCGAGTCTATGTGCTCACGTGAACATGTATATGTACAGTTGAGGGAATGGGGAAACCGAATTAGTAAATATTAATATTTTGGTCTACGTGTAAAGGTTAAGGAATTACTGTTGAAATGCACAGTGAATGTCCAGTTTATGTTAAACAATGATTTCTATAGACAAATAGATGGAGATGTGATGGTTTCACCTCTGTGTCACATGCTGACGGATATTTTCTTGATAGAACTTGAAAATAGTTCAGTCAGAGACATCATTGATCAGTTTGGCTATCATTGTCGATACGTAGATGACACTTTCATCGTTTGTGACAGTTGTTACATTGACAAATGAGCGCTGTTGAATGCTGTCAATCATATTCTCCTACCTATTCATTTCACTTGCAAGGAAGAAGAAAATAATAGTATATCCTTCCTAGATGTCCTCCTTACCACGAAGACAGAAGGATATTTGAGGAGAAACCAAATTAGGAAGAACACCTAAACTTCTCAGCACCCCCATTTGCACAGATTCATAAATCTTCCATACTAAAGAAATTTTGTTAAATGCCTTAGCTATACAATAAGATCTATATGTAAAGTGTAAAGTGAAGGTTACATTTCATGAAAACAGATATCGGGAAAACTTTCTAAAAAAGAGTACATATCGATACCAGGAGACAGGGTAATGAAGGATACCATAGATAAGAAAACTTTGTATCTCAAATTAAGCTACAAAGGGAATATTTTAAAATATCTCCTTAACAGACTGGTTGAGAGAACACTTCCTGTAGCTAGTACTTGGTTTCCTAACTGCACCAGTGTAAACAAGGCGATTCAAGTATCATTGATTATGATTATGAGCAATAAATTGTGCTCGAAACGTCATCAGTAAATATTACTGTATAACACTGTGAGACTCTATCAAAATAAAATTTACCCATTATGGAAGGCGATTCAAGGACAGATTACCGATGATAGCCTTTTCTATGTGCATCTATAAGTTTAACTGCTCCTGTGAAGTTAATTACTTAATCTGTATTCAGAGGTTTAAATGATTTAAATGATATTCAAAACTACCTGACTATTATTCCATCTAGTACTTGTACCACAATAAAGTTTTTGATATAGCTCCAATTTATTTTTACTGAAGCTGTATGCTAAAATCAATGGATTCGTAATTGGAGAGGTTGAAGAAGCATCTATTGAGAATAACTGTTTGCTTCAATTACTCATGTCTAGAGAATGTCATTGATTTCGAATATTTGTAGTCTATAGAACTGATGCACATATGGCGTCTAAGGGTTATGTAGCTATTCGAGAGGAGCGAATGTGGTTAGCTGTCGAGTCAGACACTATGGACAGTGGAAAAAATGCATTTCGATGTAGAATGAAATTGTAGGGCAAACATTTTGTCAAATCCCGTAGAGGCTAACTGCCATAAGAGTGTTCTTATTTGTTGGATGGTAACGAGCAGTGGAATCCAGGATGAGTATTTCGTTCTATTCTGAACTTATCATCCGGATGTACCTGCAATCCCCACTTGTTAATTTAATGTTGTTCTCAATGAGACTTGAACTAAGCAACCGTAGTTCCAATACATAACCAATAGTCGACGGGACTTATAAAATCAACTTAAATTGTTCTGTTTGAAGGCCTTAATTGTCATTTCTCCACCAAAACTGTGGGAATTACAGCAAGCAAATGTAGTGTGACTACATTTCACAGATATTTGCTTCCATAGTATAAATATGTCACCGTTGAATGTCACATACAAAGCTAATGTTATACGACGCCAACTTAGAACTTCTCAACTGTTTTCATAGAAGAATTTTATGCTCTCCTAACATTTAATTCCACAAACGTGTTTGAGGAGTTGATGTGATGAGGATTTTGTGTGTGTGTAAATGATATGCGTTCATGAGGTGTATCATACATACTGTCTTTGTATGGTGATTTCTTTAATAATTCTTTCACCAATTTTTTCCTAATAATCGAAATGTGATTGCATGTTTCCATACTTTTGTGCATAATATTTACAGTAGTATCTCCCATTGATTGTTTTTTATTTGACATGAAAGTAGAACTTTAGTTATTTCTCGTCTTCTTATTGGTTGGTCTCTGATTAAACTGTAAGCTAAGCTTATAAAATGCTCAAATGTGGGTTTGCAGGGATTTTATTTGATTGGTTACAGGAATTCCTCATCAGCTGACATTAATTAGAGAACCACTGGAAAACCTGGGCATACTTGACAGCCGTTTCGTCCCAGTCTGAGACTCTTCACTGGTACATAGCCAGCGGTATTTGCATTTACTTAACATAAGAGTGTATTTTCGTGCAACTTACACCTTACGCACTTCACTGGTGAAGGTTAAGGATAAAATAGAGGAAGAAAACCAACAGAATTATCAGATCAATTGTGGGGACTGTGATGCCGTATATGTAGGAGAAACTTCCAGACAGGTAAATGTAAGAGTGAAAGAGCATAAACAATGTCAAAAGGTGGTTCCAAAGACCTCTGCAGATTTAAAGGAGCTAGAAAACAGATCAGCAATTGCGCTGCATTCTATAGAAAGGGGACACAAAACTGACTTTGATAGGACTAAGGTTCTACAGAAAGGTTTTGGTTCGTACAAAGAAAGACTGACTGCAGAAGTCCTGCATATATGGGTGAATCCCAACGGTTTGAACAGACGTGAAGGTGTGATGTTGGCTGATGCATAGCAAATCCTGATTAATAAATAAAAATTGTATATATATCAACAACTAATCATACTTGGTCAAAATTCCCGATTGTCTATATCTTCTTATGGAGAGGCTAACAAATGTTTTATGACTGTTTACCCACACACACATACACACACCATTGTATACCGCATATACACATATATTTTCATATTCAGTTATCTACGACCATGAACTTTTAGTTCAACGTAATCTGATGAGAAGTACACTGTGTTTAAAGTGTTTGACAAAAGTGGACTAATTTTGAAAGTATGAGATCAAATTTTGATCACAGTTCTTACAATTTTGTTTATTATACATGCTGATACCTGTTTCATGACTCATATGATTGCACAAAGTTTTTAAAAACAATAAATTTCCTTTTATATATAAACCTCTGTTATGTTAATTTCGATTAATTTCCCTGAAGAAGTTCGGACCAGATTGCCGAATGAAACGTTGGAATTACTCATTTCAAATTCGCATAATTTGTTGTTGTTATTCCCTAGGGTTCCGAGAGGAAAATACACAGGGCTCCGAAATCACACCCCCACTTCACTCTGTTCTCCTCACTTTTTTTAGTTGGCTTCACGACTGCTCTTAAGCTTTAATCGCATCCTCACACGATCTCCACTATGTCACTCTCTCAAGTGGTTCCACTCGGGGGCCTCCTTAACGCGTGATTTCACTCAGTAGTCTTCTCAGGGTGTTCACAGACCACTTGCATTCCCTTCTTCATGTTTCATAGGTAACAGGCTCTTTGTTGGCTTGTTGCCAGAGTTTGTCTCTGGCCATCTGATTTTTAGAATGAAACCATAACAGTTGTTGATGAAAGTCTGCAGTGGTCTGTTGCCAACGCTTTCAATGACCCGCGCGCCAAGTCTCTGAATCACTTAAAAGCACTAAGTGTGTTGAATTAGCATTGAAAAACCGAATCTTGTTCCTTAAAGTGAGTACAGTAGATTTCTGCACTGATTACGGATTAATGAAGGTCTCTTCTGCCTCCCGAAATCGAAGACTATGAACGAATTATGCAGGAAGATGGGATTATATATGAATTACGATCAGTCTAAAGATATTTTTTTAACATTCTTAGTGGTTGCATTGAAATAACTACCTCATTAGTAGGTCAGTTGGTGGATTTCCGAACCTGTAGTTCGAATCTTGCAGTGATTGAGATTTTTATCTTATCACTACATCAATACCATCTACTTACATGAGTATTGGTGCTATTCTCTCTCTCTCTCTCTCCTTATTTTCAATATTTACCTATCCATAGGGTCAAGTGGATGTTGAATGGAAATTTGCACGATCAAAGCTATGGATCAGCTTTTTTGGTGAAGGTTGTACTGTACCTGTTCCATTCAATATAATACCTACACCAAAATCATTTATGTATATGATGAATTCATTGAAAAAATTGTTTTTAAATTGTTATAAAGAGAAATTACATCGTAATAATTGGGAGACAGTTCGTGTAAGTTATTTTTTCCTTGACTTAATTTCATATGAAGATGATTTTTGTTTCACTGCTTTGCGTTCCAAGTGAATTGCATAGGGCTTCAAGATGTTAGCAGTTTTAAAGTTCCACTAGTGGTAGTGTGGCGTGAGCTGCTGATAAGATTTATCAGTAGTATATATAAAGAGGCGCTCATTGGCACACAAAACATCAAATAGCTGGGAGCTAGATTTGATGTTAGAGAAAGTAAATGATACAGAGTTGCGGAGAAACATGGGGGACGTGTAGGAAACATAAAGAAACGTAATATGAAGGAAGGCCAGAAGTAGGACAACTCGGAAGATCTGTGTAATGGCCGATCTTTTAACTTAATTAATTTAACTTAGCAGGGTCAATCATTCTAGGTAGAGCTAGCTAAATTTTTATGTTCCAATAATATAATTGACGCTGATCTACTAGTCTGACCTATGTAATTGACCTCACAGTCAGCATTGTATGGTAGTCGGTAAATTATTGTATTTTTATTAATAGGATTTTTTGGGCCCCTTAATCTGACAAAGCTTATCTCTGAGGAAATTGATTAGTTTAAATGCCACCCTAACTCCAGCTTCATTGAGATTCCTACGTAAGCAGAATACCCTATGAGGCCAATAGTTCACTTTAGGGACACCCCAACATACGAGTTATCTAAATATTTAGCATTAAAATATTATGCCCCATTAGAGATAGGTCAAATTCTACGTGGCTAACTAATTCCTATGTAATGAAACAGAAACTAGAGGAAATTCAATTAGAAAAAGATGAAAAAATGATTAGTTTAGACATAACCAGTCTGCATACTAATATTCCCATTAATACAGCCCTGGAGGCTGTTAGGAATGAACTGAACATTGATTCTAGACTCAAATGCGAGACTAAGCTCTCGGTGGATGAGATAATATCAAGTGTTCAGTTATTTCTAAACTCCACTGTATTCAAATTCCAAAATAAACTATATAAACAAACTAATGAGGTGGCAATGAGATCAACAATATCTGCAATAGTGGCAGACACATTAATGGCTGGTTAAGAACATAAGGCTCTTAGAAAGTTTAATCCTGCTCATAGGTTATAGTGGAGATATGTGGATGACACATTCACTGAGTTGAATATATCTGAACATATCCCTCAGTTTTTCACACATCTAAACTGAATAGTAGACGGAATCCAATTAATTTCTGAGTTAGAAAATGAACAGGGTGAGTTGGCCATGCTAGATTGTAAAATAAAACATGAAACAAGATGATGGGTTAGATACTAGCATTTATAGGAAACAAACGCACACTCTAATAAATACTTAGACTTTAATTCATCCCATCCGGAATCGGTAAAGATGGGTTTAGTTAAATGTCTGTATAATCGGGCCAATAGCCAAACTAGTAAGCCAGAAGTTTTAAATAGTTAAATCAAACAAATAAAGGAAATAGAACCAGTGAATAACTAACCACCGCAATTTGTCCAGAAATATATGAAGAACCATAGAAAAACTGCGGCTACCAATAAAAATGATGAAAATAACGAAAATAATATAGAATTCAAAGCTTCGATAGCACTTCTTTATGAAGAAACAACAGAGGCTTTAAGTAGGATTCTCAGTGACGCTAAATTTACGATGACATTTAGACCAACCAAACAACCAGCCAACTCTCTGAGAGATAAACTTGCCAGATACCGTGTAATGTTGACTGTGAGATCAATTACATAAATGAGACTAGTAGATCAGGGGCAGTTCGACTACTGGAACATAACAATTTAGCTAGCTAGACCTGGAACGACAGAAGGCAAGAGTCAGGCAACAGATCACTTATTAAGGAGATCAACGCATATTTATATATTTTCATGTACATTACTGTGGATATTTAAGCAAACAAACACAGTCTTCCGATTGGTTGTTTCTCACGTAAAGTTAATCTTTCATCTATTTGTGACTGTTTCTTGAATGTCAAATCCTCTATATGTTAACTGCATCCGCCTACGCAAAGTCTGCTGTGGTCGGTTTTGAATCAATCTTTGTTCACATTTTCTCACGACAAATCTTGGGAACGTAAATATTGACGTAAATTACTGTCTACCAATTTGGCTAGTAGACAGCTCTCACCACAGGCCTAGAATGATTGACCTTGTTAAGCTAAATAACTTAAGAGAAAGCTCGGCCATCGCTCTGTTTTTTCCTTCACTTTTCTAGTGGAACATAGGGCTTCAAACTACAGGCTTGAAGTTTCTGTAGCAGTGTTTATTTTTACAAGATGGGGTTGCTAGCCTCATGCCCAACCTTCCCTCTTTACCAGTCTTATAACTGGCTTAGTGAGGTAAAGGAGTGCGTCGGTGGCAGAGGATCGAACCCCGGACCATATAAATGGTTGGTGATTGTCCTAACCGCTGTGCTACCATTGCACTGTACTGTACTGCATTCACTTGCATGTAATCACAGAGTGATAGGGTGGGACAGGGTGAGAGTATTAAAGAGTAATACAGTTAGGTGGAAACAGAGAGAGGTTAATCACTGAAGCTTTGTTTATCGATTCAACACCGCACATGTGCAACAGGAATGACGCAACACCTATGCCGGAGATATGGAAATTAGCAACAAACAACAAAAGGAATTTGGATAGACAGAAAGAGAGAGAAAATATATGTTAGACAAGATGTGAAACTGTGTAACTAAACTGACATGATTACGAGCAATAATATATTTTCCATTTGTTAATACTGCATTATCACTGTGTGATTATTAAAATAAACTTATCTAATATGGAATTACATTCTATCACAGTGCCCAAGTTCTACACTTACATTAATTTGTTTTTGCGAGTTTGACCACGGATTTCCCACCGATGACATCGGATAGTGGTCGCGCCGAATCACAAATTGGTAGAAGTTAGAATTCATGGGCTGGTCACTGAGGAGATGGATTCCAGTGGCTGAATGGTATACGAGCTTGCCTTGTGACCTGAAGGTCTTGGGTTCGAACCCTGGGTGTAGATGCGTACTGGCGATGATTCCCAAACTAGTGGCACGAAACAGCTGTCCAGTACTCCCTGGTTTTCACTGGTTCTCTAACTGATATCAATCCGTGGTCAAATTTGAATAAACAAATCTAATCCTTACAAACCAACTATTGAAAACTTTCACTAATGATACTTGGTGTTCATATATTCTCTTTGTCTTTTGTGGTAGATTTAATAAAAATTGCCCCCTTTTTTGTTCTAATCTTTACCCTTTTTCCCCCATTAGCAACGTGTAAAACAAGTCAAAGAACGTGAAGCACGTTATCAAGTTGTCATGCGTGAATTAACTAAACGTTATATTATGTACAAACTGAAATCTGGTGAAAATGAAACAGTCAGTCCAGATGACTTGAGTGAAATTAAAGGCGATATCAGCGCATTCCGACATGAATTACTGGATATCCTGAAATCGAATGGTATGAAAATACCAAATTATCATAAAAAAGGTAAGTCTTCTTCTTCTCCTCTTTTCTAGCATACTTCACGAAAAATACCTATCCAGTGCGTCGGTGGCACAGTGGTTAGGACTCTCGCCGACCATGCACATAGTCCAGGGTTCGATCCCCTCTATGGTCGGCCTACAAAATTTGGGCTACCGATATCCATGCTGAAAATTCCATACTTGTACTGAAAATACGGTGTGGCATAAAGCTGTAATCAAAAATAAAAATAAAGTTCAGCGAAGAATCTCTTTTCGACGGCGAATTCATTCACTTAGCTGTACAATCGCATTTATGTAATTATTAAAAGTGTGTATGTGTACATTAAAAGTGTCAAACAAAAGTAAAATAATTGGTTAGGGTTACTGTTTACGTCATCAAAGTGTTTCAGAAATGTGATGAATAATCACAAATGTAACTGGGGGTGCGGCGTGATCTCTTCTTCTATTGATTCAGGGCTGCAGATTCTTTGGATTCTATCGCAAGCGGAACCTGATATTATCTCTTGCAACTGATTTTTGGCATCATCCGGTTGACCAGCAGGCTCTACTCATTGATGTGACTCGTATACAACTGCTCACCTCAGTCAGTTAGCAATCATTTTGTGGTAAGAGCTGCCTGCTAGCCGAAATTGTAGACCACAATATACGTCAATGTTTACCTCCCGAATCAGGGTCCTGAGAAAATACCATCACAAAGCTTAACCTTGAGGAACTCACCAACCAATCAAAGCAGACTTAACGTGTGCGAATACGATTCGCAGAAATATGGCCTAACTTTCTAAGAAACGGCCACAAAGAGATGACAGAATAACCCTCAGGAAGAAGACGACCAATCAGAAGACATTGCTTCTCTGCTTAAAATAACGTATAATAATGTACATAAAAATCTATAAATATTTGTTGATTTCCTCAATAATTAATTTAATTCATAGACTAAAGCTTATTGATTGTTTCGAGTTCTCTGGTGGTGTCGTTTGTTTAGGGTCCTATAGTTTAACTTCTCCCTCCACATTTGTGTATTTTATAGGACCCTTTGTACAAACACGATATTCATTTAGAAATAGGCTAAATAAATAATCTTTAATATTCCTACAAGGAATCATATAACACTTCTTGTTTTCAAATTATTCCTTTTTCTCTTCTTTTTATCCCAAAGTTTCTAAACTTCGTCGCGGTCGTGACAATTTCCAAATCTCTGAAATACAAGAAATGGTACGTGGTAAAAAATCTAGCGACTCGATGAAACAAGCAGGTGAACAAAATCTCGATGGGGATAAAGTAGTAAAATCATCGAAACCCTTGCTAGGTGATCAAATACACTCACTGCGAAGAAAGACACCAACTTCTGTAAAGATGAGTAAATCTGATATGAATCAATCCTTAAAATCATATAATAATAATAATGATGATGACAGTGAAAGAAATGATCAGAATGTCACTGATGCAGGCGGTGGTCCAGTAGATAATCCAGCTTTTGAAGGTGAAGAAATCATTGGAAAGAAGAAAGTGTTACCTGGTTTATCTGGCTTGGGAATATCAAAGCTGATTAAATCAGTTTCAATTCCAGGTCAAGAAACCTCCTTTACTTCAGATGTAGTGAGTAAATATTGTTTGACCTTAAGAAAATTTTCGTGGTAATATATGAAGTAAAAAATCACAAACACAGATCATGACGGGATGTGATCTGTGAGGTGTTTGAATTAGTAAGTCTGTTTTCATTTCAATCTTATTATTTTATTTATTTATTTTATTATTATTCCCTTGAGTTCCAAGTGGAACTTAGAGCTTCAAAAGCACACCTCCACTTTGTTCTGTTTTCTGCCTTCCTCTTCAGCCGGGTCCACAGTTAGCTAAACTCTCTCTCATCTCTTCCTCGCACTGTTTCCTCCATGTCACCCTTGCAATGACGATCTACTCGTCACTTCCCACTGGGATTCCACTCGAGGGCCTGGCGTGCGATTTCATTCGGCGGCTTCCTCAGTGTATACCCGATCCATCTCCATTTTCTCCTACATATTTGTTGAGCGATCGGCTCTTGGTTGGTTTGTTTCCATAGTTTCTTGTTGCTTATTCTTTCTGGCCACCTGGCCATTTGATCCTCTGTATGGAGTCAACGAAGGCAGCTGTTGACAAATGTCTGCAACTGGCTGTTGTAAATCTTTTTCGTGACATGCAGTGCAAGTTTCTGACCTGTATGGAGGAACCGACTTCACATTTGTGTTGAAATTACGAATCTTGCTCCTTATGCTGAGTAGGGAGATTTCCAAATTGGTTTCAGGTTGGTGAAGGCGTATCTTGTCTTTCCGATTCTGGCTGGCTGCCTGGCTTTGACATCTTCATCCGTTCCGACTGCCTGTAGTTGAAACTATGCTTCCCAGATAAGTGAAGGAGGCAACCTCTATTAAATCTCTCCCATTGATGGTGATTGGTGCTGGTTGTTGTTGCTGTTGACTGGTTATCATCATCACCTCTATTTTCTTTGTGTTCACCGGGAGTCCTGTTTTCACTACCATTTTTGCTAGTTTGTTGGTTTTCGCCTGCCTGTAAGTATTCGAGTTTATGAGACATTAGACATACATCATTCACAGAAATCCAGATTTTCTAGAGTCTTCTTTTCGGTGGTCCAGCGTACTCCTGTGTCCTCTCTACCGACGCACAGTCTGACGCATAATGCAGTCCACTACAGTTAAGCATATCATTGGTGATAACAGGCAGGCAGTCTTGTCTTACTTCTGTGCTCATTTAATACGCCTCACTGAGTTTTCCATTGTGTATCACCCTACATGTGGCAGTGTCCTATAGCCAGCCGTTGAATGAGGTTGATAAAGACTTGAGGTACGCCGTAGTGTTGAAGTAGTTTCCAAATTACTTCTTGGTCTACACTGTCTGGTGAAGGTCTTTTCAAAGTCGATGAAGTTGAGGTAGAGATTTGACTGCCATTCTATGCTTTACTACGTGATGACGATGCATAGAGTTGCAATTTGATCAGCACATGATTTGCCTTTCCTGAATCCAGTCAACTTATTCCGGTGGGGCTGGCAGAGTTCTGTATCTAGTGCATTCTTTATTCTCTACCGGATGATTTGACTTAATATTTTACTTTCAATCAACATTAGTTAAACTAACGTCCCCTAACTGAGACTCAAATCTCAGTGGAAACACCATCACTCAAGTGGGAATCCAATTACATCCAGATGACGAGTCCTGAATAGGACAGACGCAGTGCAATTCTTGGTGGATTCAGCTGCTAGTCACCATCAACCCAAATAGCTTCACATTAATCCCTGGACGTCATCAAAGTATTCCTACTAGGAACCAATTTATCAACAGAGGCCAAGCATTTCTCCCCAATATAATCAATCAGCGGGAAATACAAAATTAACCGAAAAAACCAACAAATAATACGTTCATTTTGTTGCCCCGAAAATCCAAGAATTGGGTGGTTGGGATACCATCGCTAATGTTACTAAAGCTCTAGAGTAGACGTGATATCCGGCTGGCTATCGATTAAAGGATGTGTGAACTGCTCATTAATTCGCTTCGTCCTCCTTTATGGCTGTGAGTTAGACACGGGCCATTGAAAGTAGAAGATATGGAAAAGCTGACTATCTTTAACTAATGATATTTATGTTCTATCTCTCCCCTTTCTGTGGTATAATATGATGAGCAATACTGGGGTTAGACTCAAAGTGTTAGATAAGGAAGGGAAGTCAACCGATGGGGTTGTGAACCTACATCGATTCCAATGGCTATATCACATGTTGCACATGCTGGGACACCACTTTCCACGTCGAGCAATGTTATCTGACACAGGGTTGAGTTGGCATTAATCCATGAAGGCTTTGAATGTTGGTTTAATCGAGTCATGCAGGTAGGTGTAGACTGCCCGATTGGCGTCTTCAGGATGTTAAGTACCAATGACTTGAGACTGTTGGTTATATAGCTAAAAATGGCTCTGACCTCTCTGATCTATTAATTCTTCCTGTTTTTCTGTGTTATCACTCTACCTCCCTCACACTCCCTTTATATTACAGCTGGATACATGGAATATGGTAACTTGAATTGCTGTACTTCTGTGCCAAATTCTATGTTGAAACTCAGTCAATTTTTAAAGTTATTGTATTGTTGTGAGTAATTCATCACGTATTGTGGTGAGTGCTACTTATAATCCGATATAAGTAGTATATCAAAAAGCGAATTCAGAAAAGTAGCAATATGTTTTGCACACTGGATAGAGCAATCAAAGAAGAGAACTATGAGAAGAATGTTGCCATATGATGCAGAATCCAAGAAGCTATCGAATGTGACGATATTCGATCAATTCGTCAAGGATGTGGTAAATGATGTGCAAATGGCAATTTGAAAATATGGTATACCAAATTTACCTATGTACAATACGTTTCAGCATATTAGCATTCCTTCCAGCCTCCTCGGTCTTTTCTTCTTTACAGTCTATGGTAATATATGAACATTAGGCAGTGGATAGCTGCTACCTTGATGTGGTGGTCGGGCTTGAACACCGAAATGACCCAACAATCTATACTGGCTGAGACTTATGTCGCTTGAGGTCCTACCATGCCAGAAAGGTAGTTTGGATAGCGGTTAAACCAAAAGCAGTTACCCAATCCAATCCTATGACTCAAACAAAATCACAAAATATCATGCCGGATCGGTCGGGGCCCGGATTTACAACGACCGCGCTTCCTGCTGCCGTGTCACAGGGCAGAAGTGATAAATACGCTACTGAGACACACCAAATAAAAAAGAACACACAAAAACAGGCCGCGTGTGACCGGCCTCAAGCAGTTGTCCCCTGGGTTCTGCGGTCACGCAACCAACTTCCATGGTGTGGGCAGCCGGGAAGTAACAATCGCCCTCACAATCCAAAACGTGGCAACTCGAACTGCTGCACTTCGGTGCCAAGCTCTATGTTGAATCCAGACAGACAGACAGACAGGGTAGGGGAGGCTATCTTACAGGGATATCTACACCATTAAGTCCACAAGACTAATGAATCTTAAACTCTTTTATTTTTTTCATATCTTTACAGATAGTTCAACCAATTATTCACCCGACTGTTACACCATGCACAAGTACAATAGTATGTGAAGAAACGTTGGATTGTACTACTACTACTACTCGATCACAAACTAATTAGTAGTATATCACCGCCACCACCGTTACCAACGCAACAACCAACAACATCACAATCATTGCTTCAATCATCAGTTGGAACAATTAAATCTTCATTGGACAAAGCAAAAGATACACATGAGACCGGTGTAAAATCTGTTTTAAAAAAGACTCCAACTGATGTAAAACAACCAATTGAAACAAAGAAATCGCCATTAAAACAAGATGTTGTTGAAGGGAAAGTTGACGCTCAAGTTGAAACATTGAAAACATCCACTGACGATAGCAAAGTGAAACAACGTAAAAAGGCGGATATTCAACAGACACCACAATTATTGGATAAACGTAGTGATTTTGTTTGAAATTTAAAGGACAATTTAATGCTTATTCCTGCTGGATAGGATAACAAAAATTGTCAGTAGTAAAATGCGTTTTAAGAAAAAATATATGCATACAGTAAAAGAAAAAAGCAAGTATTAGAATTGATGTTATTTCTTAACTGATTGTAGATGACGAGAAAATTTTCAAACACTACTGATAGAATTTAGTCTACACCGACATCAAGAATTAGATGCACAACATTAGTTACTACTTAGTGTTACTACTCAAACCTACACGTTGTGGTCTGAAGCCAGGAAACCGATCTTTGCGTCCTGCTGTACAGCTGATCGAAACTTCCTTGAGACACGCACATCCGCTAAACGAGCGAAGTTAAACTTTAAGCACCACTGACTACCTACCAATCAGCGAATGGATAAAATTTTATTACAGGAAGTAATATTTACTGATGACCACTTTTCGAGAACAGCTTATCATTGCCACTCATAATCATCATATCAAGGCACTACTCACACAACTTTCTTGCTCCATTTATATGCATGAGTAAAAAATTGGGCAAAGTTAAACTTTAAGCACCACCAACTACCAATCAGCGAATGACCTCGAACGCACCAATCACGTGAAGGAGGCATTGTATGTCTATGGAATATATATATATATATATTTATGGAAAAATGCATAAAAACTGTATAAAAGTGTTGCGGAGGATACCTTCCTCTCACATGTGATGAAAATAGCTCTTAGTTATAGGGTGGAGTATCAACAGAGTATAACTCCATTGTGGGTAAAATTTATTTTGATAAAGCCTCACAGTGTTATACGGTAATATTTACTGGGCAATAAACTGCGCTCGAAACGTGGTCATCAGTAGATATTACTGTACAACACTGTGAGACTTTATCAAAATAAATATTACGCGCAATGGAACTATACTCTACCGCAGTGCACAAGTACTATTCTTATACCAACAGAGTAATTTAACCACATTCTATGCATGCAATTATTTAGGTCTTCTAAACCTAACCCTAAGGTGAAAATTTCCCTAAACTAACTGTAATCTAACTCGAACCAACCCTAATGTCGCCTTTTTTAGGTTAACCTAACCCTAACTTGTCCTTGGCTTAAAGAGTAACTTAATCTTTCCCAAACCTAAGCTGAAACTTACCAGATATCCCATTTAATAGCATAACTCTTCGATGAGCATATTTTATTGATGATGACAACATTATTTGCCAGGTTTCACTGACTTGCTCAGTGAGCGTTTCAAGGTCACTGGTGCGATCACACTCCATTGCTAGTCAGTGGTGCTTACACTTTAACTTGTCCGCTAAACGCTCCAAAGACAGCAAAAAGACGACTATTCATTGCTGGAGTCTTCCGTTCTGTTCAACAATATTAACATCAAAAACTTGAAATTATCTCAACAGTGCCGTTAGGCAGCTACACAGTCCAGAAAATCTTCTAAGTACAAACCAAGTAATTACAAAGTTAATTCAAACATCTAAATAAGTATAAATATTATGATCAGATCGTTCAGGCGGGATTTTCCAAATATTTTTTTGGTTACACTTAGTGACCATTAAAGGTACCCATTACAGTCGTACAGGAGATCAAATGCGAGACCGAATAGCTCACAGTGGAAACGTCTCTGACTGCGACACTAGTTGGTGTGGCTTTGAATCCCAGAATGGATGAGAATTCCTCTAAGATTGTTTAGATTAGCCAGGTTGATGACTGCTAACAAGTAGGAGACTTAAATCATCCAGGCATTCCTACCGATTTCCCCTATCTAACCATCTAGTAAAACCTACTTAAATTACAAAACATAAATTTACCTAGTAATGTGAGATTCTGTAGTAATTGTCTTATAGGGAAAATATAAACTCTGTAGTCAATCAAATCCCTACAAACCAACACTTGGTGATTAATCTAGTGCTCACCAGGCACTGGTTCTATGCAGGGTGTTATCTGGAACTCCACTAAGAAGTCGTAATTAGCGCCGTCTCGCTAGTCAGGTTACTCGCCTATTTCGTGAACTGGCAGAAGTTAGAATTCATGGGCCGTTGGATTGGGTCTTGTTGGCCGAATGGTCTGCAAGCTCGCCTAGTAGCTGGTGGATGAGTACGGATGAAAAGTCTGAAAGTAAGACGAGACAGCTGTCCATCACTCCCTGGCTTTCTGACGATTCTTCAACTAATGTCAGCTCATAATCAAACCTGTAACGAACCAAATTGTTATTATTATTGTTCCTTCGTGTTCCGAGTGGAACATAAGGCTTCAACAACATGCCTCCACTTTCTTCTTCTACAGGCTGGATAGTGTTCACGAGCGCGTTTACATTTCTGACCCCCAGTTGCACAATATGTCAATCTCCTCAGTAATTATGATGCTACTTTGTTTGAGTTTTATCCGCCCTCTCCCCTGTTTATAATGGCACTTTAATTCCTAGTTGTAATTTTATTAATTCTACCCTTAACCGGAAATTATTCTGGAACTTACCCATCCATTTGTTATAAATACACAAATGTACACCCTAGTTGACGGTGACTTCCTCGAAAAGAAAATTTTCTTCGCTGCAACCGTCTTTTTAATAATAATTCCACATATTTGTTGAGCAATCGGCTCTTGGTTGGTTATTTGCCAGCCAGAGTTTCTTGTTGCTAATTCTTCCTGACTATCTGGTCTTCAGTATGCAGAGAAGTCTGTCATGGCTCTCGGGAATGCTGTTCATGACACGGGCGTCAAGTTTCTAACTCATACTAGGAGAACTGACTGACTTCAAATTTGTGTTGAAAATCCGAATCAACCAAACGAAAAATTTATAATAAAACATAAAATATTGCAACCACAAGCTAACTACCTACTGATTAAGCTTGTACAAAACTACTAATGGAATTGTTCCTCTTCCAACATCCATTGTGTTCCCTGTATTAGCGAGTTACTTCTGCTACTCCATCTTGATTTATTTCACTAGGACACCTCTAAAATACACCAGTCTGAATGGGCGCCAATCGGATACAAGTAGAAACACGAAGTATTCCCGATGCAATAGACATTACGTAGTAGCATAAAATCGTGAATATGAGATTTAATTTGTTTAACTTTGACACCTAAAGCCTAGATATAACATGAAGCAATAATTACAGTCACGGACTGGTAGCTAAAGTGATTACGGGGACAGCCATGAAATAATGAGCGACGTTGTTAAGGCATTTTATAAACGCACTCGTTTAAGCTCCGGGTTAAGGATTAAGCTAGGGTTAAGGTGGGACCAGGGTTAGATTTAGTTATGAGGCGAGGGTTTAGGTTATGGTGATTAATTTTAATTTTCTTCGTTTAATTGTCTTAGGTATAAGCTCCTAACAATCCCTGTAATACCATTATTAAGATTGGACACTAGTAACTAGTGCGATGTGTCTAGTCCTTTCTTTGGTGCAGACTGAATTCTATCAGTCAGGTTTTTTGTAATGTGGCCACCATTCTAGGTAGCTTGCCATCATGGTGCACATTGATTTGATGATATTAGATAGTTGGAGGCAATCGGTAGGAAGCCTTGCTTGACCTAGGTTTCGTGTTAGTTGGCATTGGTCAGCAAGGCGTATTATTATGCGGTTGTCCTGATTGGTTATACAAGGTCATTCAGTGAACGATTATTTGGCATATCTGTAATCCCAACCGTGAAGCAATGATCTGAAAAGGAGAGCAAAGTGCACGTTAGCAGGATGATCACACAATCGCTATATGCTAGTAAGAACGAAGACTCAAGGTCAAGAACTATATTTACAACCAATCATAATACAATTAGGTGAGAGGGAAAGGACATTCCTATTGGTCATCCGTCGCATCGTCTTAGACGACCAGTCCCTGCACGCTGCGTAGCCAAGCATAGTTTAAACATTGGAAGGCCGCCGAACTTACCATACCTTACATATCCCTAATTTGAAGTGGTGCCACCTACTTTATCTGGTGAATATTAGAGCGTTTCAGTAATTGTGTCAAAATATGCCAGCATGATTTCGTGAATATTGAATAGTATACGTTTAACTTTTGAACACCCTTCCTTAATCCATTACATTGTTCACAAGTGACATTTTCTGATAAAAGTGCAGCAAATGCAACTCAGCTCGAGAATGTAATACCACTTATCATATGTGCGCCAGGAAAAAATGAATAGTACGAAATTTCATTTTTTTTTAAATACAAGAGCTACAACTCGTCATTAAACCACCATAGTAACGGACCATGACGCTACAGTTAGCGGGGATATGCAACAAAGCCACTCTCATTTGGTCGTACCCATCTTACCTTCTCCTGCATAAAGCTGATGCTGGGAGTGGGGTTCGAACCCACGCGGAGATACACTCCAGGGGATCTTAAGTCCACCGCCTTAACCACTCGGCCATCCCAGCTGACCGAGACGCCTCAAATATTTGGATATGATAATAAATTCACAGAAAAAATTTCATTAAAAATCACTTATCTCACCTTCAAATAAGATAGAAGGCTTTTAAATATTGTCCCAAATGAATCCTAAATTCTGTCAATCAGAAAATTAATGATTTTTGTAGGGTCATTTTTGAGTAATTCTGAGGAGTCTCAAACTGGGATGAAACGATTGCTTTCATCTTGTTATCTGACTAGAACAATCAATTAAATCCCTGAAAACCAATACTTGAATGATTCTGACACTTATCTGAAAGGTTGAAATAAATTAGGTATAAGTGAAAAAGAAAGATGTTTGGGAGATAGAGGTTGTTAGCGGTAACGCAAGAGTTACCGTATACGAACACAACTGTTATCCTGTAACTCTCAAAATACTTATTTTTGGTTACAGGATTTCATCATGAGCTGACATTGGCTAGAGAACCATTGGAAAACCTGGGAGTACTGGACAGCTGTTTCGTCCGCCTAGTTTGGGACTCTTCAGCACTACGCACACACCGGGGTTCGAACCCAGGACTTCCTGGGTACAAGGCGAGCTCGCCTTGTTGGTTCTCTAACCAATGTCAGCTCATGATGAAAT